CACCTCCCCAACAGCTCTAACCTGTCCCTCTCTAATATTGCTGACTCACCTTGGTCCAGGATCTTTGACTGTCTTTCCTGTCAGTCAGTTTGCAGTCCTGACCATGCCCACAACCAAGCTCTGGTACTGTTGGGATGGCAAAACCTGACAGCTATTCAGTTTGGCTGGGAGATTTGGTGTGTGGACTTGCTCCAAGTAAGGGTTTTTTGTCCCACTGTCACCTTGTTAATGTCATCCACAGAGTAATGTCGCTGTAGAGTGGATGCGGTTCTGGTTGGTTGCTTTTTGACTGCTATTTCATTAAGGAAACTGACCCCCCCCAGCCCTATTCCCATTAAAATCAGCCCAGGATTTTACTCATCAAAAAGACTTCACCATATTTTAGTTTCACATATGATCACTTACCTTTTAAGTGACTGCATCCCTTTCATTATAAGCTCATAGTATTATACAAGGCTTGATTTCTCAAACCATTTGAAGTTCAGGCTGCACAGGAAGTAAATCAACTGCTTCGACTAGAAGTTTCTCATTCTCACAGGTTAATTGAGAAAGGCACAAATGTTTGTAAGCTATTCATTCTTGTAATGTAAGTGAAGGTAAACTTATCCAGAGAAGGTGGTTTGAGAGTTTTTGGTTAACCATTTGATGTTGGCGAAGACTTGTTACAACCATACAAAAGTTACAGCACAGAAAGTGGCCATTCAGCTCATCGTGTCTCTGCCAGCTGAATAAACAAGGTGCCTGTTCTAATCCCACTTTCCAGCTCTTGGTCTTTTGCCTTGCAGGTAAGCGCACTTCAGGTTCCTTTTAAATGAAGTGACAGTTTCCACCTCAAGCCACCAAATTCGGCCAAAGATTGCAGAGACTGCTCAGCCTCTGGCTGAAAGTCTTTTTTCCTCATGTCCCTTCTAATTCTTTGATCAGTCACCTTGTATCTGTGCCCTGTAACTGAGTTCCCCAATAGGCGGAACAAATCTGCTCTCTCTGCTCTGTCCATGTCTCTCGTTATTTTGTAAACTTCAATCAATTCATGTCCAAGTTTCCTCTGTTCTAAGGAAAACAGCTGACTTCTCCTTTCCTCCAGATGCTGCCTGGCTTGCTATGTTCATCCTTATTCTTATACTACAATCCCCTTGAAATAAGGACTAACATTCCATTATCCTAAGCGATTACCTGCTGCACCTGTGTGCTGGCTTTCTGTGTTCCCACCCCTCTCTCCTCTCTCGCCCCTGCCTATCCCTTTGTGTGGCAGCTTGTCTACTTTAGATTCCAGCATCTGCAGTCTTTTTGTCTCTAAGTTAGCTTTTCCAATATTTCCTCATACCTGGAATTTTCAAGTCCTGGCATCATTCTTGTAAATCACTTCTGTACTCTCTAGAGCAATTATGTACTCCTGTAATGATGAACAGAACGGTACACAAAACTCCAGATGTAGCCACACTAATGTCTTAAATATTTGTAACATGACACCCCTGTTCATGTATTCAATACCTCGCCCAAAGAAGGGAATCTTATAGTCATTTACAACACGGGAGGGCAGTCTTCATGTCTGCACCAGTCAATAATAATCTGACTATACTAACCTCATCTTATGGCCATATCCTTGAAGGCTATGGCAATGCCAGTGAACATCTAAACACTGATTGAAAGTTACGAGAGTTTCTGGCTCAACCAACCTTCAGGAAGTGAGTTCAGATTCCCACTATCTGTTTAACTTGTACAGGCCTCATCTCCCCATAAATGGTTCCAATGCCTCAGGAATCTAAAGCCCTCCCTCCTGCACTATCTCTCCAGTCACATTCATCTGCTGTATCCTTCAATTTTTACACTGACTACTGTATGGCACTGGAAGTAATTTGGAGATTAATATCATTGAAATCCTGCTTTTAAATTTCCTACCTAACTCTCTAAACTCTGCTTGCAAAATCTCATTTCTGCTTTCCCTCGTCATTGCTTCCAACATGGACCATGAGTTTTTAGCTGTTCATCTCCCCCCCGCCTCGTTCAGAAAGACATGCAGCCATTCCATTACATTCTTCACCATACTACTCAGGAGGCAACATATCAACCCAAGATCATGTCAATAGCTGCAGAAGTACTTGTTTACTCCCCACGCAATTAATTCCCTTCCATTATTGCCCTTCCACAATTCTTCCTCCACCTCCTGAACAGCTGGATGTCACAGTGCCATGGCATTGGCTCTCGCTGGTATCCACAGAGGAAGCATCCCGTATATCTTCTTTACCTGCTCATAAAATTGCCTTGCCATCTTCAGGGACGTGTGGACATGCAGACAAAGGTCTCTCACTTCTTCTACCCCACCAATATCCTTCTATTTATTGTGCAATCCCTTGCTTTGTTTGTTCTGTGCAAAAGCATGACTTCACACTTTTTGGATTGAATTCCATCAGCTATTTTGCCGCCCATTCACTTTAACTATGTAGCCAATTTTTGTGTGATCTGCTAATTTCCCAACCATGCCTCTCACATTTAGCTCTGAATCATCAATGTATACCACAGACAGCAATGGATGCAACTCTGAGCCTTGTGACTACCGGAAACTGCTTTCTATTTGCAAAAATTTCCATCAACTGTCACCCTTTGTTTCCTGTCATGGAGTGAATTTTGGATCCAGTTTGCCATATCCCTCCGTGTCCGATGGGCTTTAATTTTCCTGCCCATTCCCACTATGTGAGACTTTGTCAAATCCATATTGACCACATCCACTGCCCAACCTCATCAATCTTCCTTGTTAATTTCTCAAATAATTCAATTAAGTCACTGTGTCATGACCTTCCCCTAAGAAAATCATGCTGACTGTCATTGAGTAATCTGTACTATTTTATCATAGAATCATTATAGAATCCGTACAGTGTGGAAACAGGCCATTCGGCTCAACAAGTCCACACCGACCCTCCAAAGAGCATTCCACCCAGAACTATTCCCCTACACTTTCCCTGTAACCCTGCATTTCCCATGGCTAACACACCTAACCTACATACTCCTGAACACTGTGGGCAATTTAGCGTGACCAATTCACCTAGCCTGCACATCTTTAGACTGTGGGAGAAAACCGATGCACCCAGCAGAAACCCACACAGAATGGAGAGAATGTGCAAACTCTACACAGACAGTCTCCAAAGGGTGGAATCGAACCTGGGTCCCTGGCACTGTGAGGCAGTAGGGCTGACCACTGAGACACCATGCCGAGGCATTTTAGGTAACAGTTAATTCTATGTTTCGGTATCAATTCTAGTAATTTGTCCCCCACTGAGATCAGACTGATTGATGTATAATTATTTGGGCTATCCTTGCACCTTTTTTGTCTAATGGTACAATATTCACAGATTTCCTGTTTTCATCTGCATCTAAATGAGGCTAGGAAAATTATCTACAAAGTATCTACTATTTCCTTCCTGGTTTCTTGAACAGCCTAGGATACAATAAATCTGGCCCTGCGTGATTTATCTACCTTCAAAAGGAAGTTAGTCCCTCGAGTACTTCTCATTATGCATATCTCATCAATTGTTTCACTCTCTTTAATTATGACGTCTTCTTCATCCCTCTCCTTTGTGCTCTTCATTTGGAGCACTACCCACATTTCTGCATCCACACACAAGGTATCAAATACACCTCTGATGGCTCTAACTGTTTCTTTAAGTCATCCTTTTGCTCTTAATATACTGATAAAACGTGTTTGGTTTTTCCTTAGTTTTAATTTTTATATCCTGTTTGCTTTCTTAATTTCCTTTTTCACTTCATACCTGTATTTTCCATACTCCTCTAAGCCTCCTTTCTAAGATTGGCATAATCTCTGTTTTCAGCTTTATTTTACCCTGTATGCCTCTGGATATCCATGGGGCTCCAGATTTGGCAGTACCACCCTTTTTCTTTGTAAGGACAAATCTACGCTTTGCCTGTATAATGTCAATTTGAATGTCTCTCGAAGAATTGTCACTAACTTTCCTTCAAGAACCTGTATCCAGTCCACTCTATATTTATGCTTCCTGAAAATAACTGAAAAGTCGGAAAAAATGATTAAACCAGCCACTAATGAGCTAGCTACAGCTTCTGTCAGAGCTTGTGTAACCTTGATTTAAGGCTGCAATAAGTTGCAACTTCTCTTAAAGTGTAACACTTATTTAATTGTTAATTAAATGGAAAAATTAAACTTTATATAAAAATTACACTTCACTGACTCCAAATGCAAACCAAGTGGTTATATTAGAATTTTGAGTGAGAGGATGGAACTACTGTGTTAGTAACCATAAATTAAGACTAATCCAAAGGTCCCCTTATAATGTGTGAACGCCCAGATTTGAGATCACAAAAATGACTGTTGCACCTGGTGCAATTAAGATCATCATTGTAGAGACAGGGCTACTTTTAAGCTGGTCACCAGGAACACTAATTTGTAAGAATAATTTTCTTGACACATAGAGGATGGTGAAGGAAACGGAGTAATGATGAGAAGGGGCATTGTAGACATTATTGTCTTTGAGTGACCTACTCTGATCATAAGACTCACCTGCTTGGTCATTGGCTGCACCTAATTTTATATTTTCTAATCAATCTGTTCGGGGATGATACTACACATTTTTGGAGCAGGTGGGACTTGAACCCTAGTCTCCCAGCTCAGAAATAGCAACTGATCAGCATGCCAGGTTTTTGTCAAGGCAGCAAATTGAAAATTTTACTCATATTTAATTAAGTTTTGTGAGATCATACATGATAGTTTTATACTTTAGGGTTTTAATCAGGTGAACAATTTCTTACAAAAAGGGTAATTTTTTTGGAGCTAGGTTCCATTTATCCACAGGAGATTTGAAGTAAGATTACTTGTTCTCTTTTTGTACAGAACGATTGAACTGTCTTTCGTCAAAATATCCCTTGATCCTGTTAAACCTTGTCTTCCTCAGTTCATGAAAAATGGTAAATAATTGAACAAAGTGCTTTTGCTTTGATGGAAGATGAATTTTTTGAATTTTTTTTTTTAACAGAACAATGAGACTCTGAAATTGCTGGGACCAGGATAGTTTGCATTTGAATATCTGACTATGGACTAATGACTGTAGATGCAACCTTGTCAAATTGAGTTATCATGAGTACTACTAATGATGATGCTAATCCAGAAGAACAGGAATCCCCTTTAAATCCATTATGCTTTGAGTGTGGCCAACAGCACTGGACAAGAGAGAACCATCTGTATAATTACCAGCATGAAATGGATGATGACCTCGTTTGTCACATTTGTCTGCAGCCTCTATTGGAACCACTGGATACTCCCTGTGGACACACATTTTGCTACAAGTGCCTCCGTAATTTCTTGCGAGAGAAGAACTTCTGCCCATTGGACCGCAAAAGGCTTCACTTTAAACTGTGCAAAAGGTCCAGCATTCTTGTTCACAAACTTTTAGACAAACTGTTGGTGTCTTGCCCTTTTGAAAGTAACTGTCAAGAAGTGATGCAGCGCTGTGATTTGGAGGCACATCTTAAACACCGGTAAGCAATATATGAACAGTAATAAAAAAATTGCATATATTATCATTGTATCAATATTGGTAAAGGAAAATTTTTGTAACTTCTAAATACGATCATTGGAAATTCAGGCGTGTCTACTTTTGGGCACCTTGCCCAACAATGTTAACAGTCTGTGCTCAATAGGAAAAGTCTGAGGAGCCCTTGATTTTAGAGCTTTCAACATATAATGTAGATAGTGCTGATGCAGGAGTCCACACTGATTAGTGCCCCAATTTCCAGGGAGTAATTGGATTGAATCATGTGAGATCTGGAGGAGGAGTAAGTGGGCCTTGGAGTGGGTGGTCAGGGTTTCTTAGGGACTGGAGAGTGGGATTACAAACTGGAGTACTGTTGGGGGTGTAAAAATAACTGTTGGGGTTAGGTAGGAAGATAGTAGACCGTAGGAAGAGTTTAGGTTGAGAGTTTAGATAGGATAAGTGTAGTCCTCGCAAATATTGTTATTGGGGATTAGATAAGGAAATTGCTGGCCTAGGGACAGTAAGGACTGCCAACGCTGGAAGCTAGAATCAATAAATCTGGAGCTGAAAAAGCACAGCATGTCAGATAGCATCCGAAGAGCAGGAAAGTCAACATTTCGGGCCGAAACCCTTCATGTCCAGTTGACTTTCCTTCTCCTTGGATGCTGTCTGACTTGTTGTGCTTTCCCAGCTCCACTTTTGCTGGCCTAGGGAGGACTGTTGAGAACAAAAACAGAATGTTCTAATGAAATGCGGTGTGTCTGCAGCATCCTTATGATGGACAGTGAAGGAATTGAGGGTAATGGGGATAAGGCAGGAAAGTGGAGTTAAGGATTGTCAAGTCATTCATGATTTCATTGAATGGCTGAGCAGACACAATAGGCCGAATAGCCTAATTCTGTTCCTACATTTATGGTCTAAAGGGTCACTGGACTTGAAATTTCAACTTTATTTTTCTGCCATACACTGCCAGACCTGCTGAATTTCTCCAGCAACTTACTGTCCTTATTTCATATTTCCAGCATCTGCACTTCTTTTGATTTACTTTTATAGTACTGTTGGGGTGTGGTTGGGTAGGAAGATTACATGCCTTGGGAGTGCTGTTGGCGTGTTGTGAAGGGTGCTATTGGATAGAAAAGGTGCAGAGTTCAGGAAGACAGTTGGGCCAGGGAACTATGTTGGGAAGTGCAGCCTAGCAGGTCAGGAATGGGGCATGGTTGTACTAGAGGGTGAAGTTAAAGATATATGGACTGAGAGCACTGATACTGATTGCCTTAAGGCAAACCAAGGTTGCAGAAGGGGCCAGAAGCTGGCTTTAATTCTCTTACTTTCATTTGTAAATAGACTAATGTCTGCTTCATCATAGTATCCCGACGTTGCAGAAGGAGGCCATTTGTCCCATTGAGTCCACACTTACCCTCTGAAGAGCATCAGACCCAGATCCAGACCCCTACCATATCCCTGTTAACTCCACTACCAGGGCTAAATCACCTAATCTGCACATCTTTGGACTGTGGGCGGAAACCAGAGCACCTGGCAGAAACCCATGCAGACCCAGGAAGAATGTGCAAACTGCACACAGACAGTCACCCAAGGCTGGAATCAAACCCAGTCCCTGATGCTGTGAAGCAGCAGTGCTAGCCACTGTGCCGCCATGCCACAATATATAGGTAAAGGTCACCTCTTTAACAAAGTGGCATCTGGCATAAAGGATTTCCTTTACCAAGATGAAATCTGGCATGACTTTAAACAGAAATGGCTAAATGCTCGCTTGATATTTTTGGTTGATATATTTAGGCATGTGGCAACAACAGAAGAGTATCGTGGATGTAATTTTAAACAGTAATTTTATTCAATATATAATTTAGTAGTGTTATCCATGATTAATTTTCCTACAAACTTAATTCAAATAGCTAATTCTGCCTAAAGGAAAATATTGATCAATTTTGTGTGTAATTAAATTTTATTAATCTCATTAAGCATGCTCTTCCTTTTTGGTGAAATTTGTTAACTACAAATAACTGAATATAATACGGTAAGAATTCAAAACATTATCGAGTTAGAGATGCTTTGTGTCACTGATCTAGAATACTATACAATGAAAAGCAAAAAGCAATGCAATGCATTAGAATTCAAGGTCCTGATTTTTTTAAATTTGAAGTTAATTAATGAAGGTATATATATTGTAAAAATTTAATTTGGTATATTTTCACTATATTTGCAGACATGCTCTGCTGTAAGGAAGAGTCCTTGTGGCCCAGTGGTAACATCTCTACCTAAAGTCAGAAACTCCAGGTTTGAGTCCTCTGAAAGGACTTGTTGCCCGTAGAAGTTGCATACATAATCTAGCCAAGCAGGTTGATTTTCAATCTTTAAAATTCCTTATGATATCCATGATGGCAGGCTGTGTCAGTGTGATCCTGCAGAAGGCAATGGCAAACCTCTGCAATACTTTACCCATTGCATAGATCAATCCAATGAAAGAACAGGTCCAGCCTTGGAAATAAGCACAGAAGAAAAGACAGACAGAGTCTGCTTTAAGATGATTTCTATTCTATATTTTTCAGGTTAGGAATGCTTACACTGCAACATCATTATTGCTGATAAAGCCTAAATACTAATAAACCTGAATAGTGCTTGTTAGAATTGTGAAAAAATGACAATGAAGTAGTGTCTTGTATTTAGAGGTAGTGTTGATCTAAAGGAATCCTGATCAGTTTAATCAGTAGTCTATTCACCATAAACTAGGACTGCAGCACTTATCTCTTTACATAATAGATCACAATATTTAAGGCTACTAATTATTTAAGATTCTACTGTACAATGTACTTACTAATATGCCTCGGTTATTATGTTAGTCCAAGGTCTGGTGATGATGAGCAATACATTTTTAAGCATCAATTTGAAACTCTAGGATCATGCCTGGAGGAGAACAAATGGTAATTTGGATTTTGATTCGCTGAGTATGTACACAACTACTGTTGTTGGTTTATACTTCATTTTGATGTTGAAATTGATCATGTGATTGGTTTATTTGTATGAATCATGGCAAGGCACTAATGGTAACTATTGGTAACTTCTGAAAAATTTAAATCATGACTGTATAAATGAGCTAATCCTTTTAAATCAAATCAAGCAATCTGCTAGGTCGTAAGTGAAATTTTCATATTACGGCGTGATTATATCTAATGTAGAACCGTGTGGATTTTCAAATACTTTAGTAAATGTTGTTAGAAACAGTGAACCATATTAAGACAACCTTTTGTTTACTGCTGGAATGATCTTTTTCTTCATCTATAGTTCACCAATTACTTCTACTGAAGAGGAACAAACTTGACATGATCAATTTAGATACTTGTTAGCTGCCAGGTTTTATTGTTTTACAATGAGGTAATTAATGGCTGCTTTCTACTGTGTGACATCTGCTTTGTTAACATTTTTCATTCTTTTAACAAAGAACAGATTTTAAATAATACAATGAACATTACTTTAAGCATATATGTTATATGACCTTTGTTGACACAACAATTTAGCTGAATGTTGTCAAATACTATTTTGCAGTCTAAATAAAAAGTACTATTTCAAAAAAAAATCTATCCTTTGCTAAACTAAGTTATTGACAAATAGTTTTTCCAGCATTATATTTGTTATAGTTCCAGATAAGATGATCAAATTATGTGATGATTTGGTAATGGACAAGTAACCTTTCTTGTCCAGTGTAAAGAAGTTGAACTTTGAGATCCCAGGTACTGATTAAGAGAATAAAGCTGCCGGATTCCATGACTTTGAACAAACAAACTAAACCTTATTATACAAGCTTGGAATAGTAAAACAACTTACAATGAATGAACAATTTTTACTTTAACATCTGTGATTTACATTAGGTAAATGTGAGTTAATAAATAACATTGGTTTGAACACGTCCCAGTATGTGTGGAATAGCAAATGTGTTCAGGATTGAACATGTGGATTTCTCAGCAACCCACCAAGACAGTACTAACACTGTGGGTCGCCAATAAAATTTTGTCTCATTTCCAAGGCATTCTAATTTTGCACTTTAGAGGATCTAGCTTTGAAACTCCCTTAGGTGCTACACTGTTACAAAATTCCTCAATGACTGATGACATCTTTCCCTAAGATTACGATGCTCTGGACTCCTGAGGCTATATTCTACAATCTACTCAAGGACTTAACTACAGGTCTTCCGCAGACAGTATCATTATCTCCATGAAGCTGCCACTGAACCTGGCTCCAATATTTCTCAGCTGCACCAAGCAAACACTACCATGGACTTTCTTTACAAGACTGTCAGCTGCACTGAACTATCAATGATTCCCAAAGTTTCTTCTGAACCCCAGTTCTCTCCAATACAGAGCCAGTGGTATTTTGCAGCTATCTCAACTCCTCAGGATTTTGTCTGAGCCCTGAATGCCTAGAAAATGATAACAATACCCCTTCTGCTTCCTTATAAGTATTCCTGCTGTTTCTAAATAGCTGTTTGATCAGTAGTCTGAAAGTAGCAGCCTTCTGCTGCAGCTGCTTCTGACCACCCATGGAATTGCCTTCTCTGACTCCTGCTCCCTGACTAAAATTTGACTTTTGACCTGTTCACTGATCCTTGACCTGAACTGGGGTAGGTTTTCTTACTGAATTGGCTCGTTGCATTTTTATTTATGTGCAGGTAAGCACGAAGATCTGCCCCTTGCTGGAACTTTCCCGTGACATATTTAATAAACACTTGGTGTAGAGGAAATGTCTGACATAAAGTTTCTCACCAGTTCAAAGTATAGACTGCCATGCTGGCAGGAGAGTACAGGGAATAGGCCTCAGCTGAAGGGAATGTTATATCAATGGTCACCTAGTAAAAAAATCCTCCAAGTAGTCACTCCCAATTGCATATAAAACAACATCTTAATGAAAGGTTGAGTAAAGGTAAAGGCTCACAACCTTAAAATAAGTCTGTACTTTGCTATGCAATTTCTGGATTCTACTCTGAAGCCAGGA